ATTGATAAGTATGTACTTATTGCTGTTTTGTTACTTGTTTTATGGTTTTTTTGTAGTTCTTCTCTGTTCCTTTCTTCTCTTGCTTTTTTCTTTCATGGTTAGCTGGATTTCTGTAGTGATATACTTGGATTCCTTTCTCTTTATTTTTTGCATATCTATTGCTAGTTTTTAATTTGTGGTTACCAGTATCAGTGTATATTAAGTTGATGATTGCTTAAGTTTGAACCCATTCTTTACTCCTCTTCCCACCCCCATGTTTTAGATATATGGTATCCATCCTTTTATTTTGTGAATCCCTTGACTCGTTTTTATAATATAGCTAATTTTACTGCTTTTTGCTTCCTAATTGTCTTCTACTTATGGTCTTCCCTTTCCATTCAAAAAGTCCCTTTAGGGGTGCCTGGGTGGCTCAGTCAGTTAAGCATCTGACTCTTGATTTAGGCTCAGGTTGTGACCTCAGGGTGGTGGGATTGAGCCCTGAGTCAGGCTCAGTGCTGAGTGTGGAGTCTGCTTGGGATTCTCTCTCCCTTTGCCCCTCCATGCTGCTTGTGCACACACGTGCGTGCTCTCTCTTGCTTTCTCTCTTAAAAAAAAAAAAGAAAAGAAAAGAAAAGAAAAGAAAAAAGTCCCCTTTAATATTCTTGTAGGGCTAGTTTAGTGGTGATTAATTCCTTTAACTTTTGTCTGGGAAACTTTTTATCTCTCCTTCTATTCTGAATGATAGCCTTGCTGGATAGAGTGTTTTTGGTTGCTGGGTTTTTTTCTTTCAGCACTTTGAATATATCATGCCACTCCTTTCTGGCCTGCAAAGTGTCTACTGAAAACTCCACTGATATAGCCTAATGGGGCTTCCCTTTTATGTAACTGCTTTTTTTTCTCTTGTTGCTTTTAAAATTCTCTTTATCACTTCTTTTCACCATTTTAATTACTATGTATCTTGCTGTGGACCTCCTTGGGTAGATTTTTGTTGGGGGATCTTTGTGACTCCTGGATCTGGATTTCTGTTTCCTTCCCCAGATTCAGAAAGTTTTCAGATATTATATCTTCAAATAAATTTTCTGCCTCCTTTCCTATCTCTTCTTCTGGGATCCCTATCATGTGAATGCTATCATGCTTGATGGTGTCACTGAATTCCCTAAGTCTTTTTTCCTTTTTTATTATTACTTTTTCTCTCTTTGATTGTTCAGTTTGATTGCTTTCCATTACTCTGTCCTCCAGGTTACTGACCATTCTTCTGCTTCCTGTAGTCTACTATTTATTTCATCTAGGAAATGTTTAATTTCATTTATTGAGTTCATCTCTGGTTCTTTTTTATGTTTTCTCTTTGTCGAGGGTCTCACTGAGGTTCTCCACTCTTTTCTCAAGTCTAGTAAGTATCTTTATGACCATTACTTTAAATTCTCTATCAAGTATATTACTTATCTCCATTTGTTTTAGCTCCCTTGCTGTGATTTTGTCCTATTCTTTCATTTGAGACATATTCCTCTGTCTCCTCATTTTTGTCTAACTCCCTGTCTGTGTTTCTATGTGTTAGGAAAGTCCACTACATCTCCTGCTCTTGAAAATAGTGGCCTTATGAAGAAGAGTCCAGTAGTGCCCTGCAGTGCAAAGTACCCTGTTTACCAGAACCTGGCGCTTTGGGGTATCTCCTATGTGTGTTGTGTGCACCCCACTGTTGTGGTTGGGCTGCTTTTGCCTTCAGTCCAGTCATCTCTCTTTGCCTGTGTGGACAGGGTTTGGTCCCTGTGTTGTTAGTGGGCTAGCTGGGGCTGCCTTGGGTTTGAGTTGAGTCAGACCAAGCATTTGCCAGAGATACAGTAGCACCAAACTGCAGGGCACTTTCCCTGTGTTGTCTCCTGAGAAGCTTTTGTTGGTGAGCAGGGCCTGCAGTCAGACCTGATGTCTGCTCCCAGCCCATGCTGGAGCCGCAGTCAGACTGGTATGTGTAGTGATCCTCCCCTCTCCCCAGGAAGGAGTCACTTTGATGTAGTACTGGCTCCTGTCAGGGCTGCTTGTGCACTGCCAGGCTTGTGGCACTTCTTTGGGTGGGCTCCGGGTAAGGACATATTGAAGGGGGCAGGTCTGGAGGAGAGCACTAGGGCAGGGGCAAGTTAGGTGGAAAATGTAGGCACAGAGTTGGTCAATGTGTCTAGGCTAGGGGACAAGGGAGGGAAATGATACCTGCCAACTCTTTTTTTCTTGGAATGGTCTTCTAAAAATCCCTGCCCCTCCAGCACGTGCTCTGAGATTAGTAAATAAATCTTCCCTTGTATCCCAGGCATTTTTCAAACTGCTGATTCTGTGCTGCATCTCTGCTGGGCTATTTGTTGTGCTGTCTCTTTAAAGGCAGGACTCCGTTTCCTATTACCCTCCGGGCTCTCCCAGAGCTGAGCTCACTGATTTTTAAAGTTCCAGGTGGTAAGCCCCACTGATTGTAAGAACTCAAGAAATTAGGCCCCTCTGGTTTTCAAAGCCAAATGTTATGGGGATTCATCTTCCCTGTGCGGGTTCCCGTGCCTGGGTGCTTGGTGTAATTTTCTGTTTCTCTCCCTTCTCTGTACCCCTATTGTTCCTCCCTCCCTCAAACAGTCCCACAGGTCCGTTTAGCTCCCAACCACATTTCTGCCCTTCCTACACAATTTGATGTGGCCTCTTCTCAATTCATAGCTGTGGAGAGTCTGTTCTGCCAATCTTTGGATCATTTTCTGCGTTATTTACACTGATGTGGGTGTTAACTAGTTGTATTGGGATGAGGTGAGCCTCGGAATTTCCTACTCCACCATTTTATCCAGAAGTCCCTGTCCCACTTCTAATTTATTTAACCCATCTTTGTTGCTGTCTCTTTTTCTATTTTTTTTTTCATATAAACAGTGTTTTGATAAACTGCTGTTCACAGAGTCACTAATAGCCTTGTGTTGCCAAGCCCAGTGGTCAATTCTCAGGGCTCATTTTACTTGACCTATCAGGACTTCTGACATGGTTACTCATTATCTCATTGAAACTTTTTCTTCACTTGGTTTCCAGACCTCACACTTCCTGGTGTTCCTTCTAGTTCACCTGCTCAATCTATCTCCCTGCTGACTCCCCCTCATCTTTCCAACTCTCTCCTTATCTCTCATCTCTGTTTACTTTACTCTCTTGCTCATCTCATCCAATCTTATGGCTTTAAATACCTGAACTCCACACCCATGTGCCCAACAGCTGCTTGGTTAGCATGCATCTTTGGATGCTTTAAAAAACATCTCAAACTTACCATTTCCAAAACCAAACTTTCACTCTTTCCCACTATGTATATTCCACCTTTGTTCTTTTCCATCTCAGTTCATGGAACTGCCATCCTTCCATTTGCATAGGACAAAATCCTGGGAGTCATCCTTGACTTCTCTCTTTCTCTTACGTTCATGTTCAACCAATCCATCAAGAAATCCTGTTGATTCTACCTCCAAAAATATCTACAATCCAACTACTTCTCTCCATCCCTACTGCTCTCCATGGCTTTAAGCCACTGTTATTTCTCTCTTAGACTATTGCCCCAGTTTCTCTCTGTGCCCTCCCTAGAGTCTAAAAGTTAGAACATGTCATCCGTCTGCTCAAAACACACTAGTGACATTCCATCTCAGGATGAAAAGTCAAAATTCTTACAACAACCCAGAAGGCTCTTGATGACACTCCCACCCCCACTGCCACCATCTCTCTTTCCTTTCCTGTCATTCTCATCCTTGCTCCAGCATCCTGGATGTTCTTAAGCACACCTGTTCCAGAGGGACTTGGCAGTTGCTGGCCCCTCTGCTTGGAATGCTCCTTCCCCAGATGTCCACAAGGCTCTCTCATCACCCTCCAGAATTTTCTCAGCCAGTAAGATCTTCCCTGATCACCTATTTAAGTTCCAAACTGATCTCCCCTCTGGCCCTCTGAACCTTCCTCCCCTGTTTTCTAATTAACTACATAACTTCTTTCTTTTATTTCCTGCCCTATCCCCCCCCCCAAGAAAATTGCTATTTTAATATATTATTTATTATTGAATCTTCAGTGTCTAGGCACATGGGTAATCATTCATCATATATTCATTGAAGAATTTTCTTTATACATGCATCATTGTGCACTTGTCTCATTATTTATTGGGAATTAATTCCTAGGGTCAGAGGTATGTACAAATTGCCCAGAAAGGTTTTAATAATTTGTTCCCACCAAGAGTCCATGAGAATGTCTTTTTCCTGATACCTTCACCAGCATCATACCCTGGTCACACTATCCTTTCTGTTCCTTCAGCTCACCATGTTCATCCCCCCTTGATGCATTTGTACTCCCTTCTCCACAACTTCCTCCTCCAGAATACTCTCCTGACACACTTTTACTTGGTGTAATTCTTCTTATTATTTAGGTCTTACTTTAATTGTCACTTCCTTGAAGGGGACTTCCCTAATCATCAGCTGTTAAGTAACTTCCCAGTCATCCCCTATCACATCACCCTATTTTATTTTCATTATAGCATATGTCATCAGCAGATATTTTCTTATTTCTGTATTCATTTGTTTGTCTCTGATTTCCCTCCCTAGAATGTAAGCTCCATGAGCACAGGAGATTTATATGTCTCTTCCAACACTACCTCCAGTAAATGTGTGTTTGATGATGGAATAAACACTAGGTATTATAATTTTTCATTATTACGATCTGCTGGGTGAAAAGTGGATTAAACATGAATTATTTTCCTGGATTGGTGAGGCTGAGCATCTTTCACGTATAAAAGCCTTTTTTTATTAGCAAGTGCTGAGATGATCTAGAAGTTGAAAGATTCAGTTAGAGTACCTGTTTTAGATATGCCGTGTTCGATTTCTTATTTGTTTCGGATAGGCTGCACCAGATTTCGTATATTGCTAAGTTGCATTATTTTTTACATTTCCAAAGCCTCTTTTGCATTGATGTCAGCATTAGTCTCCTTAAAGGAGGATACCTTCTGCAAACTTTACTCACGTACAAATGTTTTCTTTTTGTCTTCACAGCTTTTAGAAAGAACCAACAACGGTTTTGAAGACTCAGACTCCGGTGCTACCAAGAGTCCACTCCACTTAGCTGTAAGTGAGGTGCCTCAGGCGGCTTCCTCTGTTACAAAAAGTACCTAAGTGTTCCTAGAACTAGGCTGCTCTTAAAATGAAAGCATAGTAACACAATAATAACTCATAATGAAAGCAGTACATGGGTAAAGGCACAGGCTGCAGAAAGACGGACTCAAATTCCAATCCCAACTTCACCCACTGGTGACCTCAGACACATTACTTACCCCGTCTGGGCCTCAGTTTCCCAACTGTAAAATGAGGGCAAAAGAAAGATAATTTTCTTAAAGCCTTTACCACAGTGTACATAGTAAATGACGATTATACATTTTAACAGTCTTTTAAAAGTATTACTACCTAGTAGTTAAATTTAAAAAATTGAGGAAATTTGAAGAACACATTTTGGCTTTAAAGATTTGATGTAGCCAACAATACATGAGTCTACAGCCTACCACAAAATCAACCAAATACCACAATTAAAAAGTTGTGAGCTATTTAAACACAAACTTGTGAGAGCAAGATGAGCACATGCGTAATTGCAACTCTGCTTTTTCTGCCTGCGCTTGAACTCAGGGTCTCGGAGGAGGTGTGAGGCTCTGGTTCTTGTACTGGCTGAGATCTCAGAGTGGGGAGGAAGACTTATCCTGTCACCAGTAAGGCCTCCTCTCCACATCCCTAATCGAAGGGAAATGCACCAGCTCAGAGTGAGGATCCCCAAACTCTCCATGGGGGTGACCGGGCCAACAAACTCACCCACCACTCTGTCTCAGCTGGTGTCCCGCTAGGAGTTGGTAGTCACCAGCTCTTCTCTAGGAGCCTCAGGGTCTGACAGCCACACCCAGCAGTGGCAGCTCCCCCGTAGAAGGTGCTGCTGCAGCGTGAGGCCTCAGTGCACGACCACAGCGATGGTGTTTGGGTGTCCCTGGAGGCTGACTGCTAAGAAGAGTGCAAAGGGGCTGGGTCTCTGAGTTCAACTGTTATGACATTCACTTATACCATCCAGTATAAGCACTTCCTCAGTGTGATTCTGATGAGAACTTGGAGATTTTGTAGAACAGAGGAGAGTGTTTTGTTGATGGGCATACATATGTGGTCAGGCAAGGCGAGGGTATGACACCGTCCCATAAGGACTGGGATGAACTGGTCACACTGCATGGAGCCCCTGCTTCATTGCCAGTCTCCCCGCGTAGTCACCAGCACATCTGGTGATCCCATTCACCACCCTCTGCCACACCCACTCACACACACACACACACACACACACACACATTTTGGGTCCAGTGAATTAGGCTAAAATGTGCATCAGTCTTTGTTCTAGAGATGGACTTAGAGTGGAAAAGGTGGATGGGTAGTGGGATATTTGCATGTATAAAACTTCATGCCACTTGGCTTTTAGGACAGGTTGCTCTTAAGGTTGCTCCCTGGAATCTCTGCCTAACCCATCTACTGCACCTGGGGAAGGTACCCCAAAGCTGAGGGTTCACATACAGCACTGGCTGCCTCGAACGAGGACTGTTTGAGGTGATCTCAGATAGAATCCTCATGCCCTTTGCCAGTGGGTTGGTTGCATTGCCATACCTGCTCATAATCTGAGAAGAGACTTTCTTAGCTTCCCCCAAATTCTGTCATCTCTCATTCCTTTTTTTCTTTTTCCAAAAACTATGGTTGAGTGCTTACTGTGTGCCAGTTGCTCTGCTAAGATCTGTGGGATTCTGGCCGTGTAAAGACAGGGTAGCATGTTATCACTGGCGAGAACTGGGCATTTGGCAGTCCTGCAGCTGGCAGGCGCCTGGGCAGTACACCCAGAGAGGAGGCCCCAGCCCCCAGTCTTCCCATTAACAACTCGCCTAGACATGGTTTTCCCACCTGTAAATGAAAAGGAGTAAGTTAAGGACCCCCAAACCCTGTCTAATTTGTAAATTTATTTGTTTTTGTATGGTCTTGGCCAAATACCTAACCTCTTGTGTCTCAGTTTCCTCACCCATAACATGAGGAGAATCGCAGTACCTCTGTCATGGGCCATTGTGGGGATGACATGAGCGAATGCACGTAAAGTGGTTAGTTCTAACCACTAGGTGCAATCACCTAGCTTCGTCCTCACTAATGCTAACGTATCGTTCTTTCATTTGACATATACCGACTGTGAGTGTGCTAAGCATGTGTTCGGCAGCTGGAGAGGTTGCGGTAAACACCCAGCCTCTGTCCTTGTAGAGTTTCCAGTCTAGGAGAGAAATAGGCAAGTAAATATGTAACACGCCAGATGGTAGGAAGTGCTGCCCGTGCTACAAATGGGACCAGTAAGATGCACTGAGGTGGCAGATGAGGCTCTACTTTTTATAGCACAGAATCTCACATTTGAACAGAGACCTTAAGAGCTACCCATGTTGATATCTGACAGAAGAGTGTTCTGGGCAGAGTCCAGAAGTGCAGCGTCCCTGGGGGTAAGGGCATGCTTGGCGTGGTCCCAGAACAGCAGAGTGGGGAAGGGAGAGTGGTAGGGGATGGGGTGGGACATGTCCTGGAGGGGGCGGGGAGTCAGGGGAGGGCCTCCTACTCCATTGTAAGAACTTCAACTTTTACTCTGAGCAAATTAGAAAACCATTTGGAGGAATTTGAAGAAACAGATGATATGATATGACTTTTGTTTGAAAAGGATCACTTCAGCTTCTGTGTTGAGTCTACTTTGTAAGGGAACAAAAACAGAAGCAAGATAACCAGGAAGTGTTGATGATGAGGATGAGGATGAGGATGACGACGACGATGACTTTGACCAGGGTGACGATGACTTTGACCAGGGTGATAGCCGTGGATGAATTTTAAAACTATGTTATTCTTGGG